CAGTTTTAAAGCTATCTTGCTGAATCGATATCATATAGCCGTCATATGAACAATAGTCGAAAATATGGAAAATTAATAAACAAATCGTCATAGCTTCGATGTTGTTTATATATTTTGTTCGACATATTTTATGTTTGCAAGGGTATATAATCTTCGGCTTGCCGAAGCTAGCTTCCTTTCTTGTTTGATTTCTAGATTTAAAAGGAGTTTGTAATTTGAAACATTTTGCGGTTGATTATTAATATAGCAAAAGTTAATGTAGCAACGAAAGGTATTTGGAATTTGTGCTTAGTTTTCTTGTTTAAGTTTTAAGAGTATCATAAAGTTAAAGAAAAACTTTGGTCCTTTTCTTTTATGAGTATAGGTCTATATGTTATGGGTCCAAGCCCACTTTTAGGCCAGTTTTTGTTTTGTTTCTAAACATGGTTTCATTGTCTTGTGCTTGGGCCTCGCTCACCTCTTTAGCTTCATCCCCTCCGGAAAGTCTTGCTCTCGTCGAACTCGTCTGAAGTGACATTTTACAACGAGTATGGCATAAAACAAATTGTGTGATATGATTTTTATAGACATCAAATCGATTATTTTATGATCATCGCTGCCGCTTTTTATGCGTTCGCTGCGGGGTTTATGTAATAGCCGGGCATCGGAGCTTAACAGGCTGGTGTTAACCCATTCGTGCCCAGATGACTGCGTTTTACGTAATTATGTAATTGGGTGTTAAGGCAAACAGTCAGCGAGAGTCTCATAATATTGATGCTGATTATGGACGACGATAAATGCCACGGGACCGTTTGGTAGGCCTCCCTATCGAACCATTGCGATCCGATCGAATCGCAAGACAAATGGGCCATATGCTGCCTATATGCGATCAATTCGCCGGCAAAGAGTCGCAGGAGTCAAAAACCCAGTCAATATCCGGTCGAGGCCGTAAACAGTGGCCCCGATGACATGTCCTCCGAAACACCATAACACATTTTGAAAAGCGGTTTCTGAGAAGCTCAGTGTTTGAATCAGCTTGTAAATGCACAGTAGATCGGCAGTCAGCTTTTAAATGGGCATTATTTGTAATTCATCTTCAAACATTAAGTTAAATGCCATTTTTTGTGCTAGATCAAAATTGCTTCTTTGTGTGATGTTAAGTATCTTAAGTTGACTTCAGTTGAATGTCTGCGTTTCACTGTCTTGTTTGGATTGCAACTAACGTTATTAAATCGTATTAAAGCTATCTTAGTATTTATGTAAAGGGGAAGTCCTTGTACAATTTTTAATTGTTACCAACTATCTATTTGTATGTGGCTTAGCAAAAGGCCCCCTAAATAATTGAAATCGTTAGAAGTAAATACGTGTTCGGCATAACTTTGGAAAATAAAAATGTATTTAAAAACGACTTAATCATTATCAAGCTTAAATTAAGTGAAAGGCTTGGCATCACACTAAAAAATTTGATTCATAAAACAAATCAGAAATGGCTCAGTATGCCAATTTATCATCAACGTCGGATATGCGTTGACCCAAAGCGATTTTGGCGATCTCATCCTGTCTAGTACACAGCTTGTCCCTGAGGACAGCCGCACCCATACGATGGAAGATGTTATCAATAGATTATTTATATCGTCGGGTCCTTTAAAAACGCCTTTGTCAAGATGATGTTGGGCTGCTTGTAAATTTTAAAATCTACTACGATTCTTTGGGAGGAATAAGAAATAAATGACGGAAAAATTAGAGTTTTGGAATACTTAACTTATCGACAAAGTTCCGCTACCAGAGTTACTTGACCCACTGTGCGATCGACCGAACCAACTTGGCCACCTGTTGTGCTCCATTTTCTATGTGCGCTGCATTTTTAATTTAATTTTTGCACTCTTCTTCACGTATGCAAGCTTAAATTATTTCGTGCGAGTCTCAACTTCGAACCCCATGCTCGTCCTCCTGCTCCTGGACGCCGGTGATTAATAAAGCCAACATCCAGACCCGACCAGGCTAGAAGCAGAAACACAACCGAGGCAGAAAATACAGCAACAGCTGGCTGCAACAGCCTGGCCAATTCCCATTGCCAATTTCATTCGTGAGAAGAGAAGCGGCAGTCAGGCCGAGACAGTGTGCAGTTGACATTTCTTTTGATAAACTAATGACTATTTGAGCCGCCTCGAGAGTTACACCTTTTATTGTCTTTTCGATTTTCTTACACACGTTTTATCAACAATGATCTCTTTTTGTAATCAAAAGCACTTTACAGTCCTAATGGAATTGGCAAATAATTTAATAGTGGAAATACTCGTTTCTCTTACTTGACCAAAAGAGTATAATGTACTAATTGATAGTATGAAACAGGTCATAAAGTATTTCGAATACTTTTGTTTCTTGTACTTTTACCACACCCACTATTAGGCCAGAAAGCTGCAAATATCTATGGCACCCACAGTTTTCGTATTACAACATATGATCCTACTGATGAATAAGTGAAGGAGACACCACAGATCCCAAGAAATATGCATATAAAGTACTCTCAGTATCTCGATTTCAAAGCTACATCGATAAAACTCTACCAAAAGTTGTGTAGTTACTGCGCGCAGTATATATGTAAGTCAAGACGAATCAAACAACACCATCTGGAAGAAATCAAGTCGATATGATCAAAAACAACGGAGTGATACTTTTTTTCAATCTCTCGTGTACCTGTACAAACCGTATAACATAACTATACATATATTACACTGTGCGACAAAATTTAACAAAATCTTTGTTTAAGTTACTTTTTTGATTGTTTTCGGTTAAGGTGCATAAATTATGCACAAAAATATTTATGCCACCTTTTAAGTTTATTTTTTTATGATAAATTTTATGAAATTATTATTATGAAAATAATTAACACAAAATATTATTTTTTTTTACTTCCAATAAACTATTATTTTTTTTGAAAGTGAATTTTTTTCCAGATTTTTTTGGCTTTTTCAGAGGTATCCTCGCGTAACAAATTCCATACGTAGTCGCCCAGAGTATAGAGCTGGGAGAAAAAAACTTTAAAGCATTGTTATAAAAGATAATAATAGATATTGAACTTGCATGAACGCTTATAACGGTGAAAAAATATTTTCCCAATATGTGATTATAAGGCTGTGAAATATGGGAAAACACGCGTTTTTGGGACATTTGAGTGTGCGTAAAAGCTGATTGGCCATTGATATTAACAAATCCACAAACTTATGTTCTTATTTTGATTAGTAGAAGTGAAAAATAAGAAAAAATCAACTTAAACATTTTTTTGTCGCACAGTGTTATAGGCTCAATAGGAGGGGCCGAAAAGCGTAGGGGAGGGTGGTCCCATACCGACCGGTCGTACCATACCGACCCCCCCATGTTTCTCAGAGATGGCGATGCTAGCCGAATTGTCGGTAACTTCAGTGAAAAGCTGTTATAACACAGACATTTTGGAGATAGATAGCCACTTTGACTTATTTTGTTTCACTGCAATTTTTCCGTTTGTTTTGTTTCAACGCCTGTGACATTTTTTTTTAGCTTTACTGAACTTGAGCTTAAATTTTTTTTCTCCGCATAAAAATCGGAGAGTAAATTTTTCTGATCGTTGATAGTCCTAGCTTTCACTCACATAATTAGAATTACATCGCTCTTTGCGTCTTTAGTTAATGCCGAGCAGTTAATCAGAAAAGGTCGTGGTGGTCCGAAACCGACCGCTAGGTGATGGTCCGAAACCGACCCCCATTTATTGGCAGCTTAATATGTCATAGCGTATTTTTGATGGAAAATATGAAAAAGTAAACAAGATTCAGTAAAGAAAAGTAACAGAAACAGCAAAAACATCAGAAGAAAGCGAAGAGACAGTCATCAACGAGCGGCTTTCGAAAAACAACGCGAAAACAACGCGAAAACTTACTATGAGAAAGAGGACAACTCAGACTTCATCAATTGACTACAGTGCCCTTTATTTCATACATTAATTTTTATTTTCTGGAAAGAACCTTCAATATATTTCTTAATAAACGTCAAAATCATTAAATTCTATTTTATGTTATTAAATTTTTCTGTTAAGAAATAGGGGGTCGGTTTCGGACCACTACTTTTGAGTACGACCAAAAAGTAGAGTTTTATATTTTCCTGAATATCTAACGCTTCAAAGCACCTACGCACTTACTAATCATTTAGATGTATAGTAAACTGATCCCTCTACATAGTAAATTTTTGAACTGAACTGAAAAATTGATTTTTCTCACCTTTATCGCTTTTGCCTTTTAGGGGGTCGGTATGGGACCACCCTCCCCTATATAAGTCGGGTGCCATCAGTTACCTATTACTTAGATATGGAACCAGATGTATGGGGCCTGAACTGGCTAAGGTTCCTGCACTGACTTAAGTGCCTGTCTTGGCTTAGGTGAGGGTATTCGCTTTGGTCTGGGTACCGGAAATAGAGAAATAGCGAAATAGAATATTAACGACTGGCGTCGAGTTAAATGTTATGAAAATATCAAAAAGCTATCTTAAGAACAATCGGTGAAATTAAAGAAAATTAATAAACATATCGCCGTAGCTTTAATTGTTAGGCATTCATGAATTTGGCTCAACATTTATTACGATAGTCAATACTAAAAAAACTTTTCTGTAACCTTTCAAAATTCATAATAATTAAAAAAATTAATAGAAAAATCAACCGAACTAGAAAAGTTATGAATAGTATACTTTATTTCTAACGTTGTTAGGATCAAACTAATAATAGGAAACAACCAGAAATAATCTTGTTACCAAAAATTTGTGATGAGTTTAATCGATTGCTGCGTTTAAATTTTAACTGCAACGGTGAACAAGTTTCGGCTCGCCGAAGCTAGCTTTCTTTTCGAAAATAGTTAAATAGTAAATAAAGCACTTTAAATTAGAAACAAATATTAAAGTGATCATTTTTAATTGGTTTTATTTTCTAATACAAAGTGCACATTTTTCAGAGGTGTTGACTCGACTATTCACAAGGACTACTTCTTCATGTTCGGATGTCATTGCTTGAGCAACGCGTTGGCACCCGCACCCTGCTGGAATTTCCTATGTATCCGGTGGTATGAGCAAGCCACCCGACATCCGCTAGTGCAGAACTCCTGGTCTGCGCACATTAGGGTAGCCAGACTCCTTTGGACGACCACGAGGACGTGGCAGTAGTCATGGCACATGTAGCACTCCGGTCGGGATCGGCAGAGGAGCGTGGGTGTGGCCACCGGCAGGGACTCGTGGTAGCAAAGCTCCCGGCACTCGGCGATCCTCTGAAGTTGTCCTTGGTCTCCGGGCTTGGAAACGGGTGCGCCCAGCGCATCGCCAGCGAGGAGGATGCTGAGGCACAGGATGGCCACGGGGATATTTGAAAATGCCATTTCTCTCGGGTGTCCGGCTTTCCTTCTTTCGACTTCCGAACTTATCTCTGCGGTCAAGTGTAGATCGCTTGAGGTTCCTAGGGCTTCTATTCGCCCCGCTTCAGCAGTATTGCGTTATATACGACTGCCGAAAATCGTTTCATTCACAGAAAGAACCGTTGCTACCTAAGTCTGGATTTTGCTGATCGGATCGGGGTTCAGGTAATTGACAACACGTGTTCGCAACAGATCGTTGAGGCATTCTCATGAATGACCGGCTCTGCTGGAAATCCCCTGGAATGTCCCGTCATTCATGGCGATACCTTAAAATGGCTTGAAATCACGGCTTCCTTCTGGCGCCATTCGAGAACAGTTCGTTTATTATTGCGTAATACGTTTCCAACTGATCTACGGATAGACTGACCGCTTCTCCACTTACCGTTATTGAAATAGTTGTTTGTAAGCCCGCACCTTAAGTCCTATTGATAACCGGACAACTATATCGTATACAGTGGCGGATTTAGGGGTTCAAACCCCTACCAAAAAACCAAACCGAACTCGACCAATTTTACCCAAAACTGGACCCAACAGGAAATCGAACCCAGCCAATTCCATGCACATCAATTGATCAAAAAGTAGGCTTACTCTTTCAAAAATAATTCGCATGTTTCATATGAGGTAACCTAACCTCTCAACCATAATAAAAATTTAATTTTTTAATTGAATGCTTTCTAAAGCGTAAATAGAGAAACGGTCATACTAAGAGGTAAATTTAACGGTTAACGTTCGATACACCAGGTTTAGTTTGACCATTCTTTTAAGGTTAGGTTGAACATCCATTTTATTCTTGATGTATTTAATTCTAGTCATACATAACTTCAAAATTACCTATTAGGGAACTCAACTTATGGACAGCAATTATAGAAATGAAATTGAAAATTACCGATTTCCGTTGTTTATTTTGACTAACTTCGACTGGTGAAAAATAACCAAGTAAAGTCCTCTTCATCTTGTCGGGTGAGAAATCCTCAACATCGAGATGATATATCGATTTTACTATCAAATAGATTTTATAATCCAAGGTATTGAATTCTTCACTGCGTGATACAATTTTCAATTTTAATTTCTCGTATCGCACTCTAGAGCAAGAACGAATAGCACAAAACAAGCACAGAGTTGTCAACAACGACCAAAAAAACAATACAAAAAGAAAGAACTAACTTAATTCGAAGAATAGGGACAATGCAGGTCTGCATTTGAAGAGCGGTAAAATTGAATTGAAACTATTCGTTTATAATAAAAAAATTTTGCAATAATTAGAAATCTATCTTATATATGAAGTGATACAAAGTTAATTCCCGAGATTAACATATAAATTCGACAGATTTACACTGAAAAATTTTTTTTAAATCGAAAACCCCTGCCAGATTAAAATCCTAGATCCGCCACTGATCGTATATATACATATAACGGGACAAAACGTTGTTCTTTATCGTGCAGATATGATTTATTGCAGATTTGGCTACGACTCTTGAATTTTTCAATTTCAATTTCATGACAATCAGATGTCAATATCATATAGAAAATATCGAAAAATCTATAAAAAATTGTTATAACAAATATTATAAAGTCGTTGTTTTTTTCCACTTAAGTACGATTTTTTGAAAATAGAGTTATGTAGCGACTCTTAAATTTGGAACCAAATTTCATGAAAAACCTACGACTATATTATAAAGCTGATATAAGAACAATCAGAGAAACTTTAAAAAAATAATCGGCTAGCTGATTTTCCTGTTAACATAAATGACAGGTATGTATTTCTTTTTATTTACAATCTGTCTTTTGACAATAAGTTAATTGTATAATTTATCATAAATTCCAGTGAACCAGGCTATTATATATTACATATGTACAGTTTGTTAGATTTGTCTATCGGGGAGATCGAGAACGTGGAATCATTTCAGCATTCTTTTTGTTAAATTGTTGTCTACTAGACCTAAGGCTAAATTATTTTCGTGGTTATGGAGTCTGTCGATGTATTTCTTACCAATTTTATTTCTTTCTTCTTTCATAATTGGAATATTGAGATCTTTGTGAATATTTGCGTTAGATTCGTGAAAAGGAGCAATGATAATTTGTCGCAAAGTTTTTGATTGGTAACGCTGAAGTATCTCAATATTTGAGTTGCTAGCAGTTCCCCAAAGCTGAATAGCGTAGGTCCAAACGGGCTTCAGTATGGATTTGTAGAGACGAATTTTATTTTCCAAACTGGTTTCTGATTTTCGACTTATTAGCCAGGACATTTTTAGTGTTTTGAGTCTAAGTTGTTGACATTTCGCTTTAATGTGATTTTTCCATGTTAATCTGCGGTCGAGATGCAAGCCGAGATACTTCACGCAGGCACTTTGTGGAATTGCTGAGCCGTTAAGTGTAACATTTGATTAGCTATTTGTTTGTACAGATTTGCGTAACTGCGTTACTAATATATTTAACTTTATAAATGTCTAAGTTCTTATTTTTGGGTTCAATGTCTAAGAAGAACAAATTCGATGGCTCTTTGGTTACACGACTTTTAATATTGCTAATGTTCCTAACAGTATGACCTTTGGACTCTACATCTTGTTTAATCAAGCTAATATCCGTTGAAAAATGCAGGTTCTTAATAACAACTCTGAATGCCCTCCCATGTTTAAGCTGGTATGTGTGAAATTTTAGAAAATTTGAAGTATGAGCCTTTACAAGTTTCCTATTTTCTTCGACAGACTTAACCATAACTCTCACTTGACCATCGCGTTGCACTTTATAGAAGAAAAGCTCTTTTTTAATTTTAGTTTCTAGATAACTTAGCATTCTTATATGTTATCGACCTCAGATAAGAATATCGGGGGCGGCTTATCCAGCGCTTCGTTTTCGGGCGTATTGATTGGAGTTTTTGCTGGGTGCAGGTTCGAGTGCAATTTTTTTCTTCAGTAGCAGAGAGGAGAATTGGTTTTGTCTCTTTATTGCCTTTGGCTTCGGTTTTACTTTCTGCCAGCTTCAAACCGTTGTGTCGTCTTCGTCGTCTCGCATGTTGACAATAACACTTTATTGATGTTTATCGACAACCACTGGATATCGGATTATTTAATAAAAATTGCACAATGAAAAATAAAAAAATTCCTTTTATGTACATAAGGTTATTTTATTTTGTTAAAGCTCGACAGATTTACTATATAAAGATCAATATCAATAACACTTAATAAAATTGATTGTGTTAGAGTCGCTAAGATGGTGACCAGATGGAAAAAATTAAATCGTTTGTTTTTACTTTATTTTTTCACAGTTAGAAAGAAAGTTACACAGTTACAAGAAAGAAAGTTAGAGAAGACGAAAATTATCAATTAAATTACGAAGTTCGAAAAAAATCAGTCGAATATACGCTACAGATTGTGAGAGAGTTTCGATTGCAGATTACCAATTGAAAACTAAACTGGAAGTTTAAGCCCAATTTAAACCTTAATAAAAAAATACCTGCTCTACACAAAGTTGGAATTAGGTCTAAATGAATCTTGCTGAAACTTTACAAAAAGTTGTGTAACGGCCCGGATCGAGCGACTATATCGGATAGCTCCCATACGAGAGAATGAAAAAAAAATTACCACGCAGTTGTTGTTGATCATATCGGCTTGATTTCTTCCAGATGGTGTTTTCTTTCGATTTTCGAAATAATTTTTTTTTGTTAAATATGAGACATGATAAAAAGATTTCAGTTTCCAATTACCAATCTCCAGTCGAAGTTCTTTAACAATCTCTAGGGTTTGGTCCTTGTGTCCAAATAAAAATGGACTTTGCTATCCTGGTTTTTTTACGGTACGAAAATCACATTACTCCGTAAAGAATTACCTCAGAGGAATTTATCAATTTCCTTTTTCGATATTTCCAAAAATTTTTGGGAGGCTTCATACTCTAGTAGGTTGGCGCCCCCTAGGTTGTATTCCTGTGATGACAGTTTCAGCCATCTATGTTAGAGATTGATAAGCGCATGTAAGAAATTTGTTACACGCTGTGCCACGCATGTAGAAAAAAGATTTACGTCCTTATTCATTTACTTATGTATTATTTATTTATCCATATTTCCGTCCAATGAAAGTAAATAAATATTTTTTACCCTCCATTGTAGATATATAACTGTAAACGGATCGGGCGACTATATCGGATAGCACCATAGGAGAGCTCGAAAAAAAAGCGGACAAAATTGTCACGCCAATGTTTTTGATCGACTTCATTTATTTCAGGTGGTGTTTTTAACTACTACTGAATTTCGACTAAAATTTTTATTCAAATCGGATAACTTTATAATAAAGCTACCAAAGAAGGATCGAAAAGTTTACATATATAGAATTAATGGACATGAAATAATAACGTTGTTATGTGCGGCCAAACAAAAATATTTAAAAACGAAATAAAATGTAAACAATGTACATATGTTTACCAACGGCCGCCGATAATAAGTCATCGATTATGCGTGAGTCCAGGCAGGGTTGCAACTTTTTTTTAAGCCTCGGGAACTGGTTCCCAAAGAGTTACTGACTCACAAGTGAACCAAAGGTGAATTTAAAAAACTTTGAGTGCTTTTTCTGGCGAAGAGAGGATTTAAAAAAAAGGGCAAGGAGAAGAAGTGGCAAAAATCAGTGGATTCGAGTTGCAGAAAATTTGATTTAATTAAGATTAATAATTCCTACCTAATATTCCGGAGCGAATATCCGGTCAGGAGAAAGAAAATTCAGGAGGAATAAAAGAAGACCAGCCACCAGGAAGGGACAACTTTTCGCGCCGAAAATTGGCCACCCATCCCTGGGTGGACACAGGTTTTTATTCCCAACTTATTACCGAACTCGCTAAGACTACAACAAAAAAAAAAAAAAAAGAAACTACACGCAAATTCCAAATCCATAACCTAACTTTTATAATTAATTATGTAACCCGCCCGAAGGAAATTGTTAAAATATTTATTTATTTAAAATCATAATTATTTATTTACT